GGCGGCTCCTTCCAGCGTGGGCAGGCGGCCGGACACCTTGGGTGGCCGTGGAGGGGGGGGTGAACTTCCCAACGAGGCGGCGGAGTAAGTCCCGCGGGAGGGAGGTCGGAGGTCGGTGATCGCTGTGAGGCGCTGAGGAGAACTGGCTGCTCTTCCTGGAAGAGCCAGGAAAGAAACCGCAGGTGCCGACGCCGGGCTTTCCTCCTCGGTGTTGTGTCACCCTGGCGGTTCTCAGTTCCTTCCAGGCGCTGGGAAAGGGCAGAGGCCGGGCGGAGCCTGTGGCTGGGTTTCTCTCAGGACACGGGGCAGAAGCCACCTGAGGCTCCAGAAGGATGCAGTTCTTTGGACGGTTGGTGAATACCATCAACAGTGTCACCCAAATATTCACAAACCCTTATCGGGTGAAGGAGGTGTCAACTGCAGAGTATGCCGCTCACACCTGCCTGAGGCAGGAAGGCAGGGTGGCCCTGTATAAGAACAGCTTTAGTCGCACGTGGGATTGCCTGCTGGTGAATCCCCAGAGCCCACAGGTTGCTTTTCGGTAAGTGACAGATCTTTAACAATCACTACTCAAGCGTGACACTAAAGACCTGAAATCTCTGATCTCAGGACTGCAGTGTTTTGCAGCTGTGGGTGTAGGGTGATGTGGTTGGTCAGCAGGTGGGCTCATGAGGAGTGGGAGGCTCTTGCATGTGCTGATGGAGGAGTCTTCATCAAAACAGCTTGTAAGAACAGGGCAGGACAGAGTCCAAACAGGTGATTGTGAAATAAGTACTCGGGTTAGAACATCCACAGGTATGTGCATTTCCACTCATACTTGTGGAGCTTTAGCATGTGAAGTACAGGATACTTCAGCCCAAAAGTTAATGTTCCTCAGGAAAAGGAGATGTTCTCTGCTAATAAAGCAGGCTTCTTTCTTCCTTCGGACCAAGCATGACAACAGATGGGAAATAAGAAAGTCCCCAGCACAAATGTTTGGTGAAGAGCTGTTTCTTTCAGATACATGGGGTGGAGGTTGTTTCTTCGAGCAGGACCAACACCACGTTTGCCTTTCCTCCAGGCTCTTCCAGCTCGATAATGAAGCAGATGCCATGGTGCATTTTGAGCAATATGCTGGGCAGCTGCGCCCTTTCTACGAGAGCTCGTACCAGCCGTTGTCGCTGGAGGATCTCCAGCAGCTCAGTGACTGCTTCCGCAACCACCCCAGCTGGTCCTCAGCACATGTGGCGGTGGAGATTGGCCATCGTGAGAGCTTCCGGCACAACCATGTTCTGAGGCAAGGGGCGGGCAGGGATCTCCGGTGGGCCTGGTGCTGGGAATGAGGCCAGAAGGGCAGGCTAGGCCAGATTTGGGTGTCCTGGCTTGATGTACCAAAGCAACAGGGGCTGCTTCTTGGAGGACCCTAACACCTGTGGTTACTGCAGAGGTGGTGTGTAAAAGTGACCGCTTTGGTGCGTCTTGCCTGAATGACACATGTAGTAGCAAAGGGTGTCCGATGGGCACTGTGTAAGCCTACTGGCGAGTTTTTGGCATGCTGCTATGGATGTTAAAGCCTGGAGCTCAGTGTTTAAGCTAAAAAATTGAAGTGTTTTGATAGAGGCACTAGTTATATTCTTACAACCCTTGTGGAGCTGCTTTATGAAGGTAGTTGTGGCTGAATTTGTAAACCACGAGAGAGCAGGTACAGTAGGTCTGTCTTTCTGAAAAAAGGTATTGGCCACAAGGCATCACTGTCTTTTGGTGCGGAAGTTCACTGGGGATAGGGGAGACTAGTGAGGAGTTAGCGGACTGGGGGACTAATAGCAGCACCCCCACCAGGTTGCAGACTGTAACCTGTCTCCTGCCTTCCTTTGGGCAGAAGAAGGAGCAGCATGTCAGAGGGTCCATGGTTGATGGCCCTTTCCTGTCCTCCTTCCCAGGGAAGAGGCCAGACTTTTGTGAGCCTCATAGTTTGCACCAGCTGGGCCTGTGGCAGACATGGAAGGTACCTTTGTATCAGCTTCCAGGGCAGTTGTGCATCCTCATCTTCGCAGCCCTTCCTTGGCCTCATGTTGACTCATCTCTTGCAGCTGTATTAACATCAGGGACAGTGAGGATGGCTGTACCCCGCTGCACCTGGCATGCCGCAAGGGAGACATGGAGTGCCTGCTGGAGCTGCTGGAGTGCCACGCACGTGTGGATATTACCGACAGGAACGGGGAGACTGTTTTCCACTATGCTGTGCGAGGAAACAACCCCCAGATCATCGAGGTGGGAATGATTTCAAAGCCTGGGAGGAGTCGGACTAGAATGGTTTTTCTCTGTGCTGAGGGGAGATGGGAAAATAGCTGCGGACAGGGGAGAAAAAAGTCAGTTTCCTCTGCTGCAGCATCGAATTAATGCTTGAGGCTGACTTTAGCCTCTTTCTTCCCCCTTTACTGGTGCTGTTTCCCACAAGCAGGCTCCAGATTCTACCCTGCAGTGGAACAAGGATGTTAAGGAAGCTTCCTCAGAAAGTATCCTTCATTGCTATTTGCATTAGGCCTTCATCCTGCCTTTCCTCAGGCCCTTGGCTATCCCTTCTCTGTCACCTCTGAGCAGAGTATTTGGTTCTGGGCAGAGTGCTCCTGTGGGGCAGCATGTGTTTAGGCTGCCATGGGGGAGCATGTGTTGCCCACGAACTGAAGGACAGTTCAGAGCTGCCCTGGGCTCTCCTGAGCTGCAGAACCTGTTGTTTGAACTGAGTGGCCTTGCATGGAGGACAGCAGTCAGAGCCTTGAGGCAGAGACAGTCTGAAGCCAGAGGCATTCTTGATTGTTGGGAAGTGCTGGGCAGAGTGACGGGGTTCGTAAGGGTGTGGGTGGCCTTCCACGTTGGTTCCTCAGGTCTGTCAGCTTCCCAGCACCCAGTGCAAGTGTGAGATGGGCTCCCCCCTACACCTGCACCCCCAACATTTGCCCAGTACCTGTTGGTGACAGCTCTCCCTCTGCCTACCAGAGTCTGATGGGCTTTCCTAGTGCATGATGGGGAAGAGATGATGATTGGGGCTTGCTATGCTGTGGAGCAGGGCATCTTGGACCTTTGTATTAAAAAGTATCCTCTTCCTTTATTTCTCTGATTGCAGCAACTTGGATTGTTTTTACAGAAGTACTTCCAGGTCTGATCTGTCTCCTGTTTGTTTCTTTTGTCTCTTGGTTCCTTGCTAAACCAGAGAAAAGAAACTCTAAATTCCTTTTTCTTTTGTCTGGATCAGGGCTTCCAGGGTTTCCCCACTACAGCAGTGAGGTATTTTTGTGTAACAATCTAGTCGGCAGGTAACAGGTCTAAAATTTATGTGGATGTGTGGTTTGAGCCCAGAGGGCAACTGAGCACCACCACGGCTACTCACTCACACCTTCCCCCTCAGGGATGGGGAGCACAAAACAAAAGGCTTGGGAATCAAGATAAGTACAGAGAGGGATGACTCACTGACTGATGGTCATGGACAAAAGGCAGACTAGTTAGGGGATTTAATTCAAACACCATGACCACTTAATTTAATAATCAGAGTAGGACAGTGAGAAACACTTCCCCCTACTGTTCCCTTCTTCCCCGGCTCAGCTTTGCTCCCAATTTCTCTACCTCCTCTGCAACAGTGATGCTGGGGGGCAGGGGACGTGGGTTGTGATCAGTTCAGAAATTCATTGTTTCTGCTGCTCCTTCCTCCTCAGGGAGAGGACTCCTCGCACTCATCCCCTGCTCCAGTATGGGGTCCCTCTCACAGGAGAATTCCATGAACTTTTTCCAACATGAGTCCTTCCCACGGGCTGTAGCTCTTCCTGAACTGCTCCAATGTGAGTCCCTCCCATGTGTTGCAATCCTCCCAGCAATGAACTGCTTCACTGTGGGCTTCCTGCAGAGTCCTGGCCTTCTTCTGGTGCAGCCACCTGCTCTGGTATGGGGCCCTTCATGGGCTGCAGGTGGGCATCTGCTCCACTGGTGACCTCCATGGGCTGCAGGGGGACAGCTTGCCCTCTTACCATGGGCTTCAGGGGGGGTCTCTGTTCTGGCACACCTCCCCCTCTTCCTTCTCTTTTCTTTTACTGACCTCAGTGTTTGCAGAGGTGTCTCCATCACAGCAGCTCCTCACAACTCTAGCTCCTCCTTGCTGGTTCCCCTTTTAAGATTTTATTATTGCAGAGGCATAGCCGTCATCAGTAATTGTCTCAGCCTTGGCACAGTGTTGGGTACAACTTGGAGCCAGGGGACCTTCAAGAAGCTTCTCACAGAGGACACTGCTGTAGCCCCCTCCCCTGCTACCAAAACCCTGCCACACACA